CAATTCATATAGCTTAAATAACAAATAAATAAATAAATAAATAAATAAATAAATAAATAAATAAATGCATTGCAAATTGACATTGATTTAAAGGTTTGTGAAGAAATATCTTGGAGTTCATGTTTGTTTAAAATGTGAGGAATCTGTGTTGGTCTCTAGCTGTTAGCTCTTCAGCCCTGTCACAACTCTATTTCTCCAAATAAAGACCTTTAAAAGAGCTATCTGCAACAGGTAAGATATTATTTGTTCATTAAACTTCCACAAAAACCTACCTCAAATTGTCCAAATGATCCCTTTGAGAACGTTTGTTAATTACAGGAAACTAAACGGTTTATGATTCTCCAATCTTTTAAACAGCTTATTGACCCTGCGATACTAATTAACTGTTAAAGTTCTCAAATACACAAACAAATGAGACTAAAAGTCATTAATGTGGCTAAAGCTGCTCTAATCACTATTTATAATTAATGTTACAAACCTTTTCTGTACATTTTATTGATTTATTCGAAGTCTTAAATGATTTGCCGAACAAAAGCTCACGCACTTTTGAACAGAGAAACATGATCAGTGTTTGTCAGCCTTGGAAACAATCCAGCAGCGTTCAGAATGAGAGAGAAATAAAAACAGGTCTGACTGAAACGGATCAGATATCTGAAGGCCGGCGCCGACCCATCAGGATGGAGAGAAGATGTGAAAACAGCAGAACACCTGCAGCTCTCTGTGTGTCTGCTGCTGCTGCTGCTGCTGACTGGGAGCTGATGGTTTCCAGCAGGAGAGGGGATTTATAAAAGACACAGATTGGATGAAGGAGGGCTGGGAGTGGAGAGGTTAGGGGAAACAAATCTGTGTCAGATTTTCTTTATGAGCACACATCTGACTAAAGGTCAGCTTGGTCACATTTGTTGTTTTTGTCCAACTTATTTGTTATAAGTTGTAAAAAAAACACAGATTGCCCACATGTTGTAACGTTTCTGTTAAACAGAAATCACCAGTTTGTGATCAAATCATCCTTAAAAATATATTGTAGGAGCTTTTCAACTATCCTACTTTGAGTAGTTTAAGGTGGTCCATCCATCCATCCATCCATCCATCCATCCATCCATCCATCCATCCATCCATCCATCCATCCATCCATC